GATTTGAGTTGAGTGATAGGTTCGAGTCGATGCTACGTCATTAGGTGTCCACCAAAGGGAAATCCTGCGGGTGCGATATCTACACTAAGCTACGAAAACCTAGGTACTAGAGTCGATTCTAGGGAAATTGACCTCGAATAATGAGGTCAACAGTAAGACAAATGTGATTAGACATTACTAGTAAGTATTTTATTAACCCTCACCATAATATTAATTCCTTTACTAATATAGAGGATATGGATATTGTGGCTAAATGTTTTGGTAATGATAATAATGACTCTAGTTTTATTAAGTATTCTAATAGGAGGGGTCAAAAAAATTAGAACATCCTTTTACATTCTCTAAGGACCACACACTCTCAAACTAGTCACTAACCCCTTTTTCTTATGTTTAAATTTCTTATTTGGAATGTTAGGGGTATTGGTAGCCCCACCTCTAGGGTGAGGGTTAAGAACATATGTCATATTCACAATATCTCTATTCTTGTCTTACTTGAACCACTCATTACTTCTGTTAAATTACTTACTAATGCTAGATATTTGGGGTTTAACTATTATGTTGCTAATACTTCTAATAAAATATGGGTATTTTGGAAGGATCCTATTTGGCTTGATGTTATTGGTGACTTTACTCAAGTTTTGTTTTACAATATTGAAATTTTAAATGTGAATTTTTATCCTTCCTTTGTGTATGCTACTTCTTCTCATTGTATTAGAAAAGCTCTTAGGGAGCAACTCACTAATTTCCATAGCATTTGTAGTTTGTCTTGGCTTGTTGGTGGTGATTTTAACATTATCTCTAATTATTCTAAATATATTGGGTGATCTAATCCTAATTATCATTATATGGAAGCTTTTAATAATACGATTATGGATTGTAACTTAGTGGATATTAGTTTTTTTGACAACAACTTTACTTGGAACTGTGGGCATTTATGGCAAAGATTGGATCGGGTTTTGTTTAATGATAGCTGTCTTAGTGCTTTTAATTCTATTTCTATTGAACATCTTAGAAAAACTCTTTCTGATCACTCGCCTCTTTTAATCAGCCTCATGTTGAGGCATATGGGTCATTCACCTCATTTTAGATTTCAAAACATGTGGTTACTTCATGACTCATTTATGGATGCGATTCTGGAAAATTGGCAGGGCCCTTTACATCCAGATAGTTCTATCTTTGGCATGAAAAATTTTTGGTTTAAATTGAAAAGACTTAATTAGAAATTAAATAATGGAATAAAACTTTCTTTAAAAATATTTTCACCAATATCTTGAATGTTGAAGAAAAAGTGAACACTTTTGAGCTTAACTGCCAATTTTTTCCTTATGATGATAACTTCAGTTTGCTTAGGGGTGCTAAAGAATGCCTATTTAAATTACAAGCTCAAGAGGAACCTTTTTAGAGATAAAAAGTGGCTATTAAGCATCTTATTGAAGGTGATAATAATACAAATTATTTCCATCGATTGGTTAGGAAGAAATCTATTAATAAAATTACTCGTGATGATGGTTTTGTTACTAAAAATGTTGAGAAAAGTGCTAATTTGGCAGTTCAATATTTTTAGAATCGCATCAATAAGGATTTTACTCCTAAACCTAGTGATAACCCATGTGTTATCCCAAACCTCATTTGTCAAGATGATGATGATTTCCTTTCTAAAATTCCCACTCTTGAGGAAAATAAATAGATTGTTTGTAATATGAATGTTGATTCTTTGGCCAGTCCAGATGGGTTTACATATAAGTTTTATTCATAAAGCTTGGAATATTATTAGTAATGATCTTCAATCTACTATTTTGGTTTTTTTTAGCTGGTTAAACTATCCCTAATTTCTTTTCTTCCACCTCTATTATGCTTATTCCTAAAAGCAATGATGTTCGTAACATGAATGAGTTAAGACCTATCAGCCTATGTACTTTCTTTAGTAAGTTGATCTCCAAAATGCTAATGAATCAGTTAACTTCTCTCCTTCCTAAAATTATATCCCCCTACACAATGGGGTTTTTGAATGGGTAGGCAATTTCTAATAATATACTTTTGGGTTAGGGATTTTGTTAGGATCTTGATGTTAGGGTGAGAGGGGGAAACATCAATTTGAAACTTGATATTTCTAAGGACCATGATAATATTGACTGGAACTTTCTTTACAACATTTTGTATTTGTTTGGATTTAATTAAGATTTTATTAATCTCATTAACAATTTAAAAGTTTGTCAGGGATGTTAAGCCCTAATGAACTAGTCCCAAGGCTAATTAAGAGGGGTGAATTGGTATTTCAAAGATTCTTTAAGGAAAAGCACAAACTTAAACCAAAGTTTACCACAAATAAATCAAAGTACAGAAATTAAATACATCAGCAGCAATAAAGAACACAGAATTTTATAGTAGTTCGGTCAACTTCACCTACATCCACTCCTCAGAGCCTTTCCTTCGAGTATTGCACAAAACACAGTGTCTCTCCTTTTGCCCCCACAGCAAGAAAGAGAAGTATTTACAAACCTCCTTTCTACCGACCCCAGTGAGGTAGAGAACCCAACTGTTTTAGCATCCTCCAGAAGCAAACAGAGAAACCAACTCCTTTTGCTTCCTCCTAAAGTAGGCAGAGAAACTCGATTAGATGTTGAAGGAAACCTCTCTAGAACCCCCAAGGAACTAGGGAGGATGACTGGAGAAGATGATGATGAATCCTTTCTTGGAGAAACCTTTGTGAAATCCCTCACAAACTCCCCCTCACAATATCCTCTCTCTCATTCTCCCTTGCTCTCTCTCTTCTCTTGGCTCTCTCAGGTTAGAACATTAGCAAAAGATGCTCTCTTAGGTGGAACAAGACCACCACATGGCCTTTCACATACCATGGTCCTCCTAATAAAACTTCTTCCATAGATCCAGAATTTTCAAAAGAACAGAGCACCCAACCAGTGCCTAAACCAGTGATATGAAAATTGCCAAATCTACTCCATTGTCTCCTCAAGTCATTGCACACAGTTGAGAAAAAAATATTGTCCCCAAAAAGCTTCACCACCAATGCATTTTTCAGCTTCAACGCATTATTAATTTCATTCTCAGAATGTAACATAACAAAATTACCATCTTTAGAAAGAAATGACCCAATATCTAGATTATCCACTATGATATTTTGTTTTCTCTTACATATCGAGGAAACGTCTGTTTTCCCATCCGAGGGAATGTTGATGTCCTCCACATTATTCTTCTTTTTTTCCACATTGGTCGAGACCAGAAGGGGAAATTCAAAATTCACATTGTCATCGTGAGACTTATCAGCTTCATAAATCAAATTCTTCCCAGAATTGCACATAATTGGAGATGACGGAAGGGAAAATGATTTAAATCCCACATTAGATTTTACCCTCCCCGCTGACGAGGAAGCTTCAAGATTAAGAATATTAATATATTCATTGAAAAAATTAGAAGAAACGGTCTTTCTTGGGCTCAGAAAATCCTCATCTTTCAAAGCTTCTTTATCTTTTCCCAAAATGATTGGTTTAACAACTTTGTTCAGCAAACCACCTTCCCTGATCACCAATGGTCTCTGTTTAGGAAGGTCATTGAACCCTGTAGAAGAAATCTGACTTCCCTTGAAAACTTCCGAAGAAGCCCGTACCGGAGCAATGAAACCTCTTATGATGTTTTCCCAGGCCTCAGAAGGTGCCGATCGCCTACCATACATTGTCGTCTTCCCGCTCCTTCGGCAAGACGGCGACGAATTGGCCAAACAAACCAGCTGCGAAATTATCGACAAAGCAAAAATTTGAAAAGATCACCGGAATCACTAGACTTTCTCTCCTCTAACTGTGGGCTTGGATAAATGGTCCACATCATTTTCCCCATCCTCTTTGAATGGTATTTCAGCACCTATTTGGGTGAGATTACCAAATTTACCATTGCATAGTTGGGATGATTTAACATCTGCAGAATTGCTTTAGTAGTAAGTAAGCTTTACTTACTAGATGGAAATTCTTTTCAATGGGGAAGGCGCGAATTTGCTAGAATTTGTGTACGAATTCCTTTAAATGAAAAACTACCCTTGGGAGTTTGGGTAGAATGATTATCTGGTAGATTCTACCAAAAATTTGAATATGATGGCATTGAAAAATTGTGTTATGAATGTGGAAGGATGGGACATTCTGCTTCGATTTGCAATGATTTTGTGAAAAATAAAGTGAAGATCAACAAGGAAGCTATTACATCAGAAAGTATTCAGAACAATTTGGTAGAATCAGAGGTGGTAAAGCAAGCTGTAGAAGATTATGGACCATGGCTTCAAGTTAATTACAAAAGAAAGGGGAGAAGAAATGAGGTTGTCCAAAAGAAGAAAAATACCACTAAGAAAGTTTATGTTCCTAAACAATTCATTAAGGAGGCAGAGAAAGTTGTACATGTGGCTGACATGGAAGTTGTCCCTAATATGGGAAGTGATTTGTTTAGTAAGGAGGTGCAGGAACAACATGTTGATGATTTGAATAAAGAAGTTTTGGTTGCCAATCCACCCGTGTTACCTCAGGTGGTGTCTCCTAAACCACCACTCACTAATACTAATAAGTTTGTTGTTTTATCATATCCGAAAGATAGTATTCTGAAGGGACCTGCTATTGAATCAGAGGGTAAAGTTGTGGAAGATGGAGAAATTATGGAGCTGGACATAATCCTGACAAATCAAAAGCCGCAAGACGTCAATAAAAATGTTTGTATTTCTGAATCCCGGGAGGTGAAAGATATTGATTTGTCTTTGGGTAAAAAAGTGAAACTATTAAAAGAGTTGAATCTTTGGGTTCAAGTAACATTGTTAACCATAACAGGAAGATGGAAATGGGCAAAGCCAAAAATGGTGGGGGTCCTTCCCCCTTGGTTAAATAATGACTTCTCTTGCTTTTTGGAATTGTAGAGGAGCCAAGAAGAGAGAGGCTGCTCTATATCTCAAGGAATTTGTTAGAGATAATAATGTTTTTTTTGTGGGATTAGATGAAACTAAAATAAGTTCCATGGAGAAATTACAGATTTTGCATTATTTGGGTGAGAATTGGGAATCGTTTCTGGCTCCTGTTGAGGGACTTTCGGGAGGAATCTTAGTTCTTTGGAGGAAGGATTTAGCTACAAATAATGTTTTGGAGGTTTCATCTCAAGTTGTAATAGGAAAACTGGAGGTTTTGAATAAGAATTGCTGGTTGGTCTCCACTGTTTATGGAAGCAGGAATTCGGTGGACAGGATGAAAGTTCGTTCGGGATGTTAGGCCCTCTTGAACTTAGTCCCAAGCTAATTAAAGAGGGAGGTGAATTGGAAAACTTTAAAACCAAAACACAATCCAAATCACCACAATAATAAATGCGGAAATTAAAATGCGGAAGTAGTAAAAAGAAAGAACACACCGGATTTATAGTGGTTCGGTCAAACCTTGACCTACGTCCACTCCTTGGAGGCACCCCCCAAGTATTGCACTAAACTAGTGTCTCTCCTTTAGCCCCCACGGCTAGGCGGAGAAGCCCTTACAAAATCACTTCCACCTTCCCCGGTGCGGCGGAGTCGCCGGGTCATTTGACACCAAAGAGACTTCTTCTTTGGTGAACTTACCTCGAGACAAGCCTTGAATCCGATGGTACTAAGGTGCTAGTTCGCCGGAGCAACCGTGTGGATCCCCCACCACACTCCCTTGAGTCCCCCCTCACAGGATCTTCTCCCTCTCTAAAACTCCACCCTTTCCTCTCTCCCTTTCAAGCTCTCTTTTCTAGTTTCCCCCACAAGAACGAAGCTACAATGGCTGCCAAATACACTTACAAAGTGCCTTGCCATAGCTTAAATAGAAGCTCTAAAAATGAGCTCATTAATGCAAGTTGCCGACATTATCGTCCAGGACGATAGCCAAATCGTCCAGGCCGATTAGTTTAAATATGAGAAAAATCGTCCTGAATATCGCCCTGAAATGAAGCTAAATGATGTCTAATCGTCCCGGACGATCTTGCGATTGGACTGGACGAAATCCCCATTAATTGCTTTCCAAAACTGCCTGAGAAATTTTGGAAAAATTGCTCTGCATCGGCCAGGACGATATTTTATAGTCCAGGCCGATATACCAGGACGATATCCAAAAATAAGATTTTCCTAAGTAGATATGGTGGAAGATTCTTGCTGAATTGAGCCGGTCGTCCTGGCCGATACAAAATCGTCCAGGACGATGTGTTTTACAAAATGATGGCTGCTTTAAAGAGGATGCCCTAATTAGGGTTTCTACTTTTGTCAGATCGTCCAGGACGATATAAATATCGTCCCGGACAATGTTACCAAAAATAGAAATCTTTTAGGGCACAACAGAAAATCTTCCAAGTTACAAATCATCAGATACCACACCAAATACAAGAGACTCAAGAAAGGAAAAAGTGAACAAACTGACTTAGACCTAATTTACCCAATCTTGAGCTGATTCCAAATGGCAGTCCCATCATGTGAACCTGAAATGTTAGTAGAAAGCAGTCATAGAGAAAAAGAATGTTTGCTATCATCAAAATCATAAGCAATAGATCCGCAACACAGGAAAGCTTTGTGGGAAAAATTGGAGAAGCTAAATGCTAATAATATACCGGCAATCATTGGGGGAGACTTTTATTGTATTTTGTCACAAGAGGTAAAGAGAGGAGGTAAGAAATTTATTTTCTCTCTAAGTGCTAGAGATATGAAGTGGTTTATGAGTAATAATGACTTTCATGAAGTTGGGTTAGTTGGACCCAAATTTACGTGGTGCAACAATAAATCAGGTGGAGGTCGCATTCTAGAAAGACTTGACAGATGTCTTTTGAATTCTATGGCTATGAATTCTATCCAATTAGCCTTGGTGAAACACTTATCATGTGTAGCATCTAATCATTGTCCTATCGTCTTGGAGATTTTCAAACCGATCATTGCTACTCACAAAGACATACGTTTTGAAGATGTTTGGGCGTCTTACCATGGAGCGACTACTATTGTGGAAAAATCTTGGAGGAAGGTTGGAGGAGGTGATCCAACCTCTTCTTTAGACCTAAAGTTTAGAAGAACATTGAAGGCTCTTTTTTATTGGAGCAAGTCTAAGTTCAAATGCTTGAATTCTTTGAGAGAAACTTTAAAAAAGAAATCTTTGATCTTCAAGTGGAAGAGGCTGACGGATTTCTTGATGAATCTAAATTGTGGATTCTCATATCCAAAATCAACGAGCTGAATTGTTCTTTAGCAAGGCTTAATGTTTGGTGGAGGCAAAGAGCCAAAGTGAGGTGGTTGGAGGAGGGAGATGCAAATTCTGCTTTCTTTCACTCCTATGCTAATGCTAGAAGATGTTCGAATTGGATTAAACAAATTAAAAATACTGATGGTGTTTTCACGGAGCAGCCTGAGGAAATTGAATTTGTTTTCACATATTTTTTCAATCAGAAATGGAAACATAGAGATTGCCGGCTAGAAGGCTGTACGATACCTTTTAATTTGATGTATACTGATGATCAGAGGAAATTGGATTCTGATTTCACTAAAGAAGAGATTCAGGTGGTTGTTGATAGCTTGCGGTCTAATGTAGCTTCTGGAATTGATGGTATTACTTTTTCATTTATTAAAATCTATTGGAAGATCATTCATCAAGATGTTTGGAATGCTATTGAAAATTTCTTCAAGACAAGATGTATGAATCAATTTTGGAAGGCAACTCTAATTATTTTGATTCCCAAATTGCAAAATCCTATGTGTCCAGCTAACTTTCGTCCAATAAGTTTATGTATGACTACTTATAAATTGGTAGCTAGAATGTTACTTAATAGATTGGAGTTGGTTATTCACAAAATTATTTCTAGAGATCAAGTGGCTTTTCTAAAAGGAAGATCTTTGTCGGATCACGTTCTCTTGGCTAAAGAGGTGATCAACAAAATCCGTCATTCCAAAGCAAAGAAAGGATTTCTAGCAATCAAAGTAGACATGGAGCAGGCTTATGATAGCATGGGTTGGCAAGCTTTGAGGCAAGTTCTTATCCATTTTAATTTTCCTCGCAAGTTTTCTGACTGGATTTTGAATTGTATTTCAAATCCATATTCTTCCATTCTTATCAACGGGAAGAAATCCAATTGGATTGAAGCTAAGAGTGGGTATAGATAAGGATGTCCCCTATCTCCTTTTCTTTTCATATTATGTTCTCAAATTCTTTCTGAAGCATTTTATCATAGTGGGAAGAATGTTGGTATCCAAATTGTCTCCAAAGCTCCTAGAGTTTCTCATTTATTATATGTCGACGACATTCTTGTTTTTTCTGAAGCCAATTTACTTAAGATCAAGAAGGTGAAAGATATTTTGAACAATTTAGGCAATTGGATGGGACAAAGGGTAAATCGCAACAAATCCATGGTGTTGTATGGTAAGACGGTTAATAGGAAAAGGAAGGCTAAAATTGAAGACATTTTAAAGTTCAAATCTATTAAGGAATTGAACTACCTTGGTATCAAGCTTACTCCTAGAAGGTTGGTGAAATCAGATTTTAATAATATGTTGGAAGTTGCTTCAAATAGACTAAACATTTGGGGTAAGAAATTTATTTCCTTGGAAGGAAAAATGGTGTTGATCAAATCTGTATTCTTATCTCTTCCAATTTTCCTATCAACCCTTTCTTTGGTGCCTTTGGGCATCTTAAAAGATTTTGATAGAATGTGTAGATCTTTTTTGTGGAGTAAGAAAAAAGGCATAGGAGGGCTTCATTATGTTTCTTGGAAGAGGCTTTTCCTTCCTAAGCAAAAGGGAGGTAGAGGACTGTTTTTGGCTGCTTGTAAAGTTGGTCACCTAAGGGCCAAATTTGCTTTGGAATTCTACACTAAACAAGACCCCTTGCTCAATTGTATTCTCAGAGCCAAATATGGAGAGGATTTATGGGAGAAGCAAAAGAAGACTGTGAGTTCTTCGACATGGAGGATTTTGTGTAATGGAGCAAAATATCTTACTAATATAGTTAGATGGAAAATTTGTAATGGAAAGTATATTGACTGGTTGAATGATACATGGCTGTTGGATAAAAATTTTTCGAAATGGCCAAAATTTGTTATTAATAAGGAGATTGAAAATCAAAGTATTAACTTCTTCATTTCCAATGGTAACTGGATTTTGGATCATCTCAGGATGTTATTTAATGAAGACCTTGTGAAAATTATCATGAACATTCCTATCTTTCCGGATTAAGGAATAGATCAAATTGAAAACATACGGGGCTGTCCATTGCTGCACTCTCGCAAGAGTCAATTCAGAGGTATGATGAGGATTGAAATTCTGGAAGTGGATGAAGTATGTTAAATTAAGACCAAAAGTTGAATTATTTTGGTGGAGGCTTCTTAATGCAGCTATTCCTAGAAATTCTTTCCTTTTTCATAGGAAAATTTCATAGTTTTCAGGATGCCCGAGAGGATGCAATGTAGAGGAAAATTCGGATCATATAACAGCAGGATGCGGTAAATTGAGGAAGGTTTTTTTTTTTGGCTTTCTAAGTGGGGATATATACTTCCTCAACCTGTTAGTTTTGAAGATTGTTTAAGGGAATTACTCTTGCTGTATAAAAGAAATCCAGTCCTTGTAAACATTTACTGTAATGTGGTATTTATGACTTGGAAAAGTAGAAATCTGTTAATTCATGAAGGGAGAGAAGAAACAGATTTTTTTATTGCAGCAAACTCTCTTTCTATGGCTATTGTTGTACCTTCTATCAATATCCATTCAAAAAACTGGGATGTCAACCAGCAAAAGTTGTTTTCTTCTTGGCGTCCTCCTCCTCCCAGATGGGTAAAAATCAATGTGGATGCAGCCATGTGTAGACATTATTTGGCTGGTACGGCTGGTGTTTTTAGAGATGATATGGGAAGATTGTTACTAGCTTTTGGTACTCAACATGTTCATTGGGATATTGGTCATTTGGAACTTTAAGCGGTTTATATGTTAAAGAATTTCTTACAAGTGTGGATAGTTGAAGCTCAAGGAGTCATCATAGAAGGAGATAACATCAATATAATCAAGAGAATTCAACAAGTTTTGAAAAGATTCAAGAATAAAGGCTTTCTGGAAGACGACCTATCCTTTGTAAGTGAGTTTAATCAAATTACTTTCAGTTTTACTACTATGAATGGTAAGAAATTAGCGGACTGTTGTGCTAATTTTGCTTTGGGGAAAAGTTTTATTTGGCATGATCTTTCTAGTACTGAAAATCCTCCTTCATTCTTACACATTTTGAAGGCTGATTTCAATTTACTAGGTGATTTTACTTAATTTGTAATAACTTTCCTGTTTATCCTTAATTTAATGCATGGCTGCATTTTTCCTCAAAAAAAAAAAAGGTAGAACAAGACATCTCATATAGAAGAGCTTCAGAATAACTCTTAATTTTAATAAACTTACTTTATTTTGCAGGATGATATAAATATCATCCTGTACAATCAGTATAAATTTAGCTCAATCAGCCAGGACAATTTGGGATGATCAGAAGGTTCTTTATTCATATTGTTTAGGATGATAAGATATCATCATGTATGATTAATACAAATCATTGAATATCATCTAGTACATAACCCTAAATGGATGTTTGGATGATGAAAAATAACTAGATCATCTAGGCTGATCTCATGATCATTACAGATAATTAGTTCAATTCAGCACATATCGTCTAAAACATCGCCCTTAATAGAAGCATACTGATGTTTGATCCTCCAAGAACAACTAAGATTTGTTAACTGATTGTTTGGACCAATCCTGCGATCGTTCATGATGATATGATTAAGCAATCAAACCTTAATTACTTTCCTTAATTACTAGATTAATTTAGGCATAATTATATTGCATCATCCAGGATGATGTCTGGACAATAACCAAAAATGATAGATACCTAAATAGATATGGCAGCTGATTCTTTTTTATTTTAACCTATCGTCCTGGCTGATGACATATCGTCCAAGATGATGCGCTTAATTACCATTGCCTTAACTAGAATGCCATAATTAGGGTTTTTATTTTTAATTGATCGTCCAAGTTGATTTTTGGATAGTCTTGGATGATGTGATCAAAAACAAAAAACTCTAAAAATAGTCAAAAAAATTTCTCCAAGTGTGTGTGTGCAAGGTTACTTAGCATCATGAACCATATCGTTTACAATTGACTCAAGAAAAGGTAAAAGATTACAAACTGACTCAGGCATAATCTTCCCAATCTTGAGCTAGTTCAAATTGTAGTTTTGATCTTGTGGACCTGAAATGTTAGTAGGTAAGGCAGTTGTAGATAAATAGAAGTGTTTGCTATCACCAAATTTATATTCCCTGAAATTATATTCGTAACAATCTCCCCCTTTTTAATGATGGAAAACACAAAATAAAATTTCAATTGAAGTATCACAATAAAAAATAGTAAAAGTGAATCAGGAAGTTCAAATTAAATTAGAAAACAAAAACTAACAAAGTACTAGAAAAACTAACATAGAAAATAAAAATAGTACAACTACTCTCCTTTTGACATCACAAAAAGGAGGGAAAGAAATAAAACAGAAGCTACAAAATAGAAGTAAACTATATTAAATGAAAAAAGGATGACATCACAAAAATAAATTAAAATAAAGATAGCCCTTGATCATCTGAAGGAGGTGTTGGTTATGGTGGCTAAAAGTAACTGGAAAGAGTCGCAAACTGCTCCCCAAACTAGGCCATGTCCTGGTCGGGCTGGTGCTTCTGGTGAGCAATGTATGAGTCAAAATAAGCAACATCCTCTATATGATATTATTCATATGCAGCAATATAGGCCTCAAAGAGAGTCTCCCACTTGTCAAACCGCTCTACCAGCTGATCCAGCTATGAGTGTTGGTAGAGCAAAGAATGTGAAGGAATAGGTACAGGAGCCACCTCCTCCTCAGCTCCCTCAGCTTCCTTATTCCCCATGTGGAGATGAGTACTGTGAAGAATATTGAAGGAGCTGTTCAAGTAGAAGGCAGGCTAATAGTTTGGTGGGGTAGGATATTGGAGGTTGTATTTGGATTCTAAGATATAGATAATGATGTGTCCTAAGGAAAGATTGGGCTTCCTCCTATGTCCTAGATCTCTCATGCTTGTTAGATGCTCAATGTATCAAAAAATTAGATATGTGGCATTAAACTCACGGTGGGCTAGAATGTAGAAAGTGGTGATTGAGAGAAGTGGAGTGATGTGGACATGATCACCAGGTTTTAGAAGAATAGAGGTGTGAAGGACATGTTGGATTATCCTAGCATCTTTGAATAAGATGATAGACTCTCCAACATGATAGGAAACATTAGAGTTCCTTAAGAAGTGGTTGGCTGGTGCTCAGTCGTAGTCAGGATCTTGGCACATGAAGTAGAGTTTATCTCCTATGGAGGACAATTGTAGCAGTTCTTGACAGTCCTAATATGTGATTTTGACAAGACGTCTATTCACAAAGGACGGAAGCGTAGTGAAGGAGGAATTTAAGAGAAGGCTTACAAAGAGTTTAAATAGTAACTCCGAATTGAATGGGACAATAAGAGTAAGGTGAAAAGTGAGGGTTGACAGTCCAAGATATAGTGATCTCAACTATCTTGTACTTCTAACAGGCATCTTGGTCGCCCGCCTCGATGAAACAAGGGTCAAGATTTAACCTCGATGAGCTTCCAAAAGACATATGAGATCTTTTTCCACTATCCATGATCAAGGAAAATAGGGAAATAGGGAGTACAAGACGGATTGAAGGAAGGTGTATGAGAAAAAAATGTTTGGAGGCCTCAATTTTTAAAGAATCAGTCAGGTCATCCAAGATGATCGCAGAATCATCCAGGATGATAGGGTGAAATAATTGCATCAAGGATGATTGGTCAAAAAGGTAGTAAAGACTTCCAGGATGATCAGACATCATCCAGGATAATAAGACACAAGCGATTATCCCGAGGAGTCAAGCTAGATGATTGTTGAAAAAGAATATCAACATGGCCAATTAGGTGGATCATCCATATGCACAA